TCTATTTTACCTAAAAAAAATTGTCATATACAAGTGAGCTTTTAGCCTATCAAGTAGCAACTCCTACAAAAAAATCTTTTTGACAAAATTTGTAAAAGAAACAACCTTTCAACTCTTCCACACAATCTCAAAATTCATTTTTTTTCTTCATATATTTCCGCATTCCATTTACAAGTATATATAACGGGTCCGTCTAGCTTGACATCTCAAAATAACATCCCATCTTGACATCTCTCCTAAGCCACTAGATTTCACATATCTAACGGTCATGATATAAGGAATTAACAACACATTTAAGCACTTGAGGGTATAATGGGTAATGTGTTTTGTTTTTGTTATAAGAGGAACAAACTAAAAATCACCAAATGAAACAGATTTCTCGTATCTTAATTTAAAGAGGGATTAATGATGAAGCTATTATTTGGAACATAAAATTTATTTTCTTATTAATCAATGGAGTGCAGTCATACATTTTCGTCCTTACTTTATAAATCAAAGGATTTATTATAGCTCATACACCCACTTCAAAAATTAATTAAATTTTGGATTTCAAATTTCTACTGGTTGAGATGAATCATTGTTTCACAATTTGATTTCTTAAAAATCTTTGATCTAAAAACCATTTCCATCATAACGCAATTACTAAGAACAAACTCTATCATAGAAGAATCAGTTTAATCTATCAAATGAATCAGTTTAATCCAACAAAATCTTCTTCTTTCCTACCCCAACGAATCAGTTTAATCCATCAAATTTGGTATCTTCAATCCATAAGATCTATACAAAATTGATTTTGAGGTTTAAAGTAATGTAAGACAGTTTACATAATTATTCTGATTTAAGAATTGATTAATATTTCTGATAATTAAGATTCTTGATGACGATTAACGATGACAAGGAGAACGAGAGATTCGTAAAGATCGAGGGAGAAATTGTTCTTTCTTTGGTTTCTAAAAGTGTCCATTACTGTGAATAAGAAACTCATCTTATCATATGGAAGATGAGAGATTGATAAGAAGATATAACTAAATCAAAAACTTACGATAATACGCTTAAGTATGTGAAGTAGAAAATATTGGTTTAATCGTAACTGTTGGATTCATCTTATCCCACGGTGAAACAAATATGTTAATCTAGGATGTCAAATTTGAGATGTCAAGGTAGACGGACCGATATATAACTTGTTAAAAATCAAAACTTTATGTGAAATGAACTTTAAATTAGTAGATACACCAACTTAAAATATAATGACACAACATAGTGAATTAAATAACACATTCGATAACTTGTATTTAAACAAAGTATAGATTCGCGAAGAGATAAACTAAAGCAAGTATTTGTATTTAAACAAATTTCATTTTCATGAAAATGAATCGGAGATTTGAACTTATTTGATCAACCGTGGTAAGTTTAAGCAAACTATAATAAAATTTGAATACAATGAATTTATCAATTACATAACATAACAAATTTTATAACACGTTGATAACTTGTATTTAAGCAGAGTATATCTTTTAACACTAGGGTTTAACTATGACCGTAACCGTATCTCAAGAGAGATTTCAGCAACTGAGGGACATGACGCATGTAGCATTGCTAGAAAGATATATGATCAACAAAGAGTTAACGAAGTACAACGTCAAGAATAAGTTTTAATCAACCACGTCGTGAATTGTTGTATAATGAGTATGGGGAAAAACACTTTTAAATTATAGATTTAGGTTTTAGGCTAGCACATGGTTTTCACATCAAACGAGTTTATGTAAATTTAAGAAGTGTTTATATCATAAAGTATGAGAACTTGTCAATTATTTAAATAGAATAAAACTCAAGATAGAGATAGATTGATAATGATTTTACGAGAAGAAGAAGAGGGTTTAGTAATTGACATTCAGATTGGGGGAGTTCAATGTGTTTACCATTAATGGGTGGATAATATTTAGCTGGAGGAAATATGTTGGCATTATAGAAAGTTTGGATGTACTAGTGTTGAGCTTGGAAGAAGTAGATGGCGCTTCAAAGCAGTGTTTTGGATCTGTTTGATCTAAGGGCTTTTAGATTGTGGCTCATTCATTTTATGTTAGCGCATTTTACACGGGTTTTTAGACTGCGACCCATTTATTTATTGTGAAATTACAATTATATATTTTAAGTTGTGGTCCACTTAAAAATATATAAAAATACGAATTTAACCTTCTTAAATTTAAAATTAAATTAAATTCTCTTCAATTAGAAGAGAACATTTTCTTATGACCATGTTCTACTTTAAGATAGATTTAAGCAATTGTTTTACATCTATGTACGACCATATAATTATTGCAAATCAACTAATTAACCTCACCTTTTTTTTAAGGGCGACCCAAGCGCACATCTCAGCAACAACAAATTATGATTTAGATGCACCCACAAAGGGAAGATCTTAGGCTAAACACCCCTCCCAAGTGTGCAATGGAGGTCACTAACCTAGGTCATGAGCCTTATTGATCACTCATTTGAGCCACACTTACAATGTGAGCTAAAAATGATTAAATCAATTTGATTTCTCCAAGATCATACTTTGATCTTTAATTTGTCATTCGTTATAGATTTCGATTCCGAGATCTCGAAACAATTAACCTTAGAATTAGAAGGCAAAGGCGAGTATAAGTACTCGTAATACGAAGTTCGAATTGTACTTCTTGGTCTAAATGATATAGACGGACCAAGACCAACGTCGGTTGTCGATTACCTGAACGTCTACAAGGAAGACGACGGTAAACCATTCAGAGAATTGGTTTCGAATGCACGCTTGAGAGAGATTCCTTCTCTTGGTGGTGCGGTGGAAGTGGGTTCTCTCGTTGAAGTTAGATTTGACAAGGATGGTGGCAGGACAAGGTAGTTTTGATTGATGATCAAGGTGAAAAGATTCTCGTTTCTGAATACATCAACGACAAGCAACGATGGAATCATACCTCCATGATCAGAATTCAGTATAACTTTGTTGACGGTGACTGGGTTCCTTCGCAGCCGATAAGATAGACACATCTTAACCATCACATACCTGATGTCTCTGATGCTCCAGGCTGATTATCATTGTTAGATTCCAACATCTTGGGATAATTTTCAGAAATTTTTTTTTGGCGAGTCGAGAGAATACGTAAATATGGTTTTTCTCACGGGTTAAACTAACTCATTTCCAACATAGGCCCACGCCTCTTCTCTACTCTCATCTCATTCTATTGTTGATTTTGTTTATTAGATCTTAAGTTCTGAATATCTCTCTTTGTTAAATAAAATTAAATTTTAGATTTCAAAGAAAAATTTATCATTTGATAGGATACAATATACAATTTTGTGAGAGCATTCCCAATGGTATAATGGTTTTAGGAGTGCCACCTAAAAGAGAGAGTGCAGGTTTTCAGGTTAAAATTATGTTAAAAGTGTATTTTACTTTTAAGGTTGCCAATGGTTAGTTTAGGATGAGAGATAAAATTAACTAAAATGTAACAAATATTTAATGTAATTTAATTTTTAAGTAATAAACAATCCTATGTGGCACCTTAAAACTCTTTTAAGCCCTTGGCAAATTTGCTAGGTGCCTAAATATTCCATGGAGAGGGAGGTGGTGGTGGTGGATGGAGAGGGAGGTGGTGGAGTGGTGTGGTATAGAAAATAAATTTAATATTTT